GCAGGAAACCCTATACCATTTTGGACAAATGGCTGTCCAGTCTCTTCTTAAAAACTTCCAGTGTTGGAGCATTCACCGCTTCTGGAGGCAGGTTGTTCCACTGGTTAATTGTTCTAACTGTCAGGAAGTTTCTCCTTAGTTCTAGGTTGCTTCTCTCCTTGATCAGTTTCCATCCGTTGCTTCTTGTCCTGCCTTCAGGCGCTTTGGAGAATAGCCTGACTCCCTCTTCTTTGTGGCAGCCCCTGAGATAGTGGAACACTGCTACCATGTCCCCCCTCGTCCTTCTCTTCATTAAACTAGACATACCCAATTCCAGCAATTTGTATTTGAATACTATTTTATACTACAGCACCTTCCCCTTCCGTGAAGCCATTTCTTCCTGGCCTGTTGGGCTGCTGTGTTTTCTCTCCATGGGCAGCTGCCATTGTTTTATAATCCTGTGGATGATCCAGCGGTGACCTCTTCATTAGGGCCAAAGATAGTGTGGGAAGGCGGTATGAAGGCAGCCAACATCTGGAAAAGCAAAAGAAAGGCACGGGGAAGGATCACTAAAAGATAGACCAATATACGGAGGAGGCAACCAGTCTCTGCATGGATGGAAGCAAAGGAACAATCAGTCGGACCCTTAATGGCTGTAGTCCAAACAGAGCACCAACTGGCTCCTTTGCCAGCCCTGTGCAATCCAGGCCAGATTTTCTGAAGCTGGTTTAAGGAGCACCCCCAGAAACAAGCAGTTTAAGCTGCAGTGCAAAATTGCCTTAGATCAGTGATGGCGAACCTTTTAGAGACCGAGTGCCCAAACTGCAACCCAAAACCCACTTATGTATCGCTGGGTGCCGGGTGGGTGTGGCCCACTCGGGCGCAGCTACAGTGGGCGTGGCAGACTGGGTGGGCATGGGCCACTGGATGGGTGTGGTTGCAGTAGTCATGGCAGACTGGGTGGGCATAGCCGAGGTGGGCGTGGCCACCTCAATGTTGCTTATGGGGAGGGACACCTGTGGGAGCCGGGCAGGGTTGGGGGAGATCCAGGAGGTCTCTGCTGGGTGGGATGGTGGGCTCCCCAATGGCGGCTCCAGGCTGGCTGGCCTCAGGCCAGTGATGGCGAACTTTTAGAGACCACGTGTGCTGGGGTGATGGTGCGTGCCCACAGAGAGGGCTCTGCGTGCCGCTTCTGGCACGCGTGCCATAGGTTCGCCACCACTGCCTTAGATCAATGGTTCTCAACCTGTGGGTCGGGACCCCATTTGGGGTCGATCGACCATTTCACGGGGGTCGCCAAGCAAGGCTGTCCGCCATTTTTTTTGTCCGCCATTTATTTGGTCCACCATTTTTCCCCCCCTTTTCCGGTGGGTGCCTTACCTCCCTTGGGCTGGGCCAGTTGGTGATCGGCCTGCTCCATCTCTGCCGCTTGCCAGCTACGCCTCGGCCGGCACAGGGGGCGGAGCCACGCATGTGCGGCGCTTCCGGGCAGGGAAAGTCCTCGACTTACGACCGGTTGGGTAGTCCTCGACTTACGACCGGTTTAGTCCTCAACCTACGACCAGTTTAGTCCTCGACCTATGACCGGTTGGGGTCGCGGCATTAAAAAGGTTGAGAACCACTGCTTATTCCGGCACAGTCTTAATAAAGGGCAGAATCCACATAGTTCGGAAAACATAGACGATAAGGCAACTGACTTGTGATTTAGAGACCACATAACTGAGCGCTTTGATCGGTTGTGCTGGCTTCTGGCTTATTCTGGAATACAGTTCCTCCTGCTGGTTCTTCTCTATGAAACTCTTAAAGCATTTGTAACCGAAAAAATTAAAGGCGTACTTCCTCTTCCCATATGTATCCGCTCCTGATTTTCAAATCCTGGAAAATGTTCTGCAAAGAGGTCTTTACCATGCTTTCAGTCAGCAATGAAAACAATTAAGATTTTGTTTCTGATATTGTCTCCCCATTGCATTGCGATGAATGCCTTGGCTTCTGATTTATTTATTTTATTCCCAGATCTCTCTCTCTTAGATTTACTTATTTATTTTATTCGTAGACACAATTCATTACATTTTATTACATTAATTAATTTGTGCCTTTATATGCAGTCCAAGTAACATGAACCATTAACCAAGGTGGCGAATGCAAGTACGTTATATTGTTAAATAATGGTTATTTATCTAATGGTTGGACATTGTCTCCATCACTTAATGGTCGGAAGGTGTTTACAAATATGCTGATGATGGTAGTAATGATGGAATATCTTTATCTGAGTTATTATGTCAAACATCAGCCAAGGGGGGGAAAAAGCTCTGTTGTTACTACTATTAAATTACGCGAGGAGACTATCTTTGTCAAAATTATGGAAGGAGACAACATTGGTTGGTGCGCTACACAACTTCCTGTGATTTTTCTACTCTGTTCCCATCCACTTACTACCCACTTACTTTGAGATGTCTGAATTTCAACTCCCAGAATTCTCTAGCCACCATGCATGCTGGCTGGGGAATTCTAGGAGTTGAAATCCAGACATCTTAAAGTTGCCAAGGTTGAGAAATGGTGCCCTTGGCAGTGATGAGTATTCTTGAACTCTGTCGTGGTATATATTTGTGTCAAAACCACTGATCATGTTTTCTTCCTTCATCCCAAGGACACTTTGGCTGCCTATCCTTGTGGTTCGGACCACACTCCCAGCCCCATGGCGAGCCGAGTACCACTTGAAGCAGCGCCAGTCCTGGAAAAGTCAAATGCCCGACTAACTGCTGTGGCTGCCAGCATTGAAGATGGACACACGGTTGTTTTCCTGGGTGACAGCCAAGGCCAACTACACAAGGTAGTAAGCTCAGACTGGAGAGAAAGGCGTGCTTATATAGATAATGATTTTATTATTTCTCAAAGTTGGTTTTTACAGCCAAGAGGAGGATAGCTCTCTATATGCCTTGCCCCAACAGAAATCTGAGTCTATTTCAGGAAAAATTATTACCAATAGAAGAGAATATTTGTAGGTCAGGGTTGAACTGTGGGGTTCTAGGTGCTCTCTGAGCTTGATGGTTTTCTTGAAGACATTTCATTACCTAATTAGGTAATCAGTGCTAGTAGGGAGTGGGGTTTGCTCTCTGTCTATAGATCAAGTGATTTGTCCTGTCAGTCTTAGTGGAGCGTTCTTGACATTTTCTTGATTAGGCTGTTGTTTACTGTTTGCTTGCCTGAGTTAGAAAATATTCATTATATAATGAGTGCAAGGGTGAATAGCCTAAAATGTATAAAAAAATAAACATTTGTGGTCAAACAACCCTCCACACAGATCATGAAAGTGAATATATGTATGTAGTGGTTAAGATATGTGACCAGAATTGAAGAAATTTAGATTCAGGTTTCCACAGAATTAACTGAGTGGCTATAGGCCAACCACACTCAAGCTAATGGCCTGATTGGAAAAGGTTTTGGGAATGAAATATAGGCAGTCCTCACTTAATATCCCTAACTGGGACTGGCAACTCCATTGCTAAGCAAAGTGGTTCTTGAGTGAAACATCACATAGCCTGGCTGCTTAGCTATGGCAGTTCCAACAGTCCCAGTTGTTGTCGTTAACAGGAACCTGCATGGTTGTTAGGTGAAGATTCAGCTCAATCCAAGCCATTCCTGCCTTGGTTCACCCCAGCTTCAAGCTTTGGTTCTTCCAAGACAAGAGACGCTTTCAGAAGATCAGTAAGCCAAAAGAGGCCAACTCTGACTAGCACTGATGATGTTACCTAGTTTGGGTAATGAAACGTCTGCAAGAAAAAGACCAAGTTCAGAGAGCACCAAGGACCCCTCATGTCAACCCTGACCTATAAATACTCTCCTTTATTAGAGGCCAATTCATTTCTTCTATCCTGTATGAACTGCCTCCAGTTCAGTTCCTCCCATCTGCCCCATCTTTCCTCTCCCTTATTTCTGCCCAGTGCAGCATGGCCAAGGTGAAGAGGCTGCTGTATTCCACCCTGCCCTCTGCCCCCCCCCAAAATGGGGACAGCAGTGAGGGGTGGGGACAAGCCCACTGCCTGGCTTAGCCCCTGTGCTACCCCTTGGATAACAATAAGAAGAAAGAGTGTGGAAAAGAGCAACAAAGATGATCAGGGGACTGGAGGCTAAAACATACAAAGAACGGTTGCTGGAATTGGGTAGGTCTAGTTTAACGAAGAGAAGGACGAGGGGGGACATGATAGCAGTGTTCCAATATCTCAGGGGCTGCCACAAAGAAGAGGGAGTCAAGCTATTCTCCAAGGCGCCTGGAGGCAGGACGAGAAGCAACGGATGAAAACTAATCAAGGAGAGAAGCAACCTAGAACTAAGGAGAAACTCCCTGACATTCAGAACAATTAACCAGTGGAACAACCTGCCTCCAGAAGCTGTGAATGCTCCAACACTGGAAGTTTTAAAGAAGAGATTGGACACTCGTTGGTCTGAAACAGTATAGGGTCTCCTGCTTGAGAAGGGGCTGGACTAGATGACCTCCAAGGTCCCTTCCAACTCTGTTATTCTGTAAGAAGAAGGTCTGTTGGAGGTGGTGGCCAGGGCTCAGTGGTACTGGGGTGCTGTGAGGGCTCTGCCAGCGCTGGGCGTGGCCCCGCCTCCAGGAAGCATGGAGGAAGTAGGAGGAAGATGTAGCATCCTCTTCATCCCGGCCATGCTGTGCAGGGCAGCCAAAAGAGGAGAGCCAATGATGGTGGGAGATAAGCAGACATTGTCACTATCATCAATGTACAATGGTTGTCAAATGCCCGAATTTTGATCACATAATTATGGGGACATAATTTCAGATCACATGAATTTCAGGGATGGTAAATGAGAGGACTGGTCATAGATATTTTCTTTTTTCCAACTGCCATTGTAAACAGTCGCTACATGAAAGCTGGTTAAGAGAAGACTAGCTTGTAAGTGGAAATTTCCGTGCCTGCTGCCTTGAACTCCCAAAGGAAAAATGCCACATAAATGTAGTAGATAAAAGAATATAGTTACTTTATACTCTCACACGCATGCTTGGCTAGTTTCCCTAATAATTCTATTGATTCTACCTGTGACCACATTAAAGGCCACACCCGCTTTCAGACAAAATAAAACTGATCACAGATCTCTAGGAACTTAAGTGGCTTTTGTGAATTGAGCAAATTCTGACATTTCACACAGCTGCATCAATGACCAGAAATTTTTTTTCTTTAAAAAAATAAGAGTCTAAGACTCCTCAACTGGCACCAACTTCTGTATTTTTGGTAAATCATAGGAACAATTATTATTATTGTTATTGTTGTTGTCATTATATTCTGTTATTCTATTATTATTATTATTAGGTTACATATCCCTAAATATTTTTTTTTTCCTTTTTGGCAATGCAGGCAGGTGTAGAACACTCTGCCCTGCAGTGTATATTTGATAAAACGTTACAGCTTCTTTGAAAAGTAGGTAAATTTCTGAATTTGGAAAAGTCTCTGAGCTCATTTTTTCCACATATAAATAACTTGCAATATGAACCTTGATTTGATATATCGCTGCATTAGTGGCAATGGCATTTAATACAACCTTGACTCAAGAGTTAGAACTACATGTTTTTCTCAGCTATCACCCAGAAATGCTTTCTTTTCTTTTCTTTTCTTTTTTTTAAAGGAAGGTTTTGCAATCCAGAATGGCAATTATTTTGGGTGGGTTCATGAAAAGGAGAAAACCCCAGTATCTGGTATGCAGTTTCCATAGTATAGATGAGAAGACTGAAACTGCAAGATCATCAGAGATGTCCAAACTGAAGCTCAGTTGTCATTTAGCTTGACTGTCCTGTCAGACAAAAAGACATTCTGAGGCTTTACAGTACAGGTAGTCCTTCCTTACCATTGCCTCATTCAGCTACTGTTCCAAGTTTCCACGCTGTTGAAAAAGTAGGTTTACAAACGGACCTTGAACTTGCAGCAACACAGCATTCCATGGTCATGTGACCACCATTCAGGTGCTTCACCCCTGTCTCGGCTTCTTGCAGTCACATGATCGCCACGTGTGGACCTTCATAGCCAGATTCAGAGAAGCATTGGGGAAGGCGGCAGGAAATCACAAGTCATAGTCCCGTGGTGGCGAACCTATGGCACGCATGCCACAGATGGCACACAGAGCCCTCTCTGTGGGCACACGCGCCGTTGCCCCAGTCCTAGGCCTTCAGCTGGGTTTTATAAATCCTTTTTGCTTTAGGCCTCCGCCGCCGTGTGCAAAAAAAAAAAAGGTTCAATCAATCAATCAATTTCAACTTCTCGCAGGAAAAAAAAAGATCTCACAAACTTGGAATTGATTGATTGAACTTTTTAGTCCCACCCAGTCTGCCGTTACCACAGCAGCCATGCCCACCCAATAGGCCACACTCACTCAATAGGCCACACTCACCCAATGGGCCACGCCCATCCAGCACCCGACGATACATAAGTGGGTTTTGGGTTGCAGTTTGGGCACTCGGTCTCTAAAAGGTTCGCCATCACTGTCATAGTCACTTGATGTTGAGCTTAACGATTACCCAAAGATTTCTTTAACAACCGCAGCTGAAACTGATATCATGAGTTGGGCACCCTCACATGATGTTTCATTTAACAACTGTATTGGTTAGTGATGGAATGGCCAATTGCAGTGATGGGTAAGTGAAGACTACCACACAGCGGTATCCATATCAAACCTTGCTGTGCCAAAATAATGCATGTGCGTGACGATGTCATCCACTCAAGGATCTTGTTTTAGAATAGAATAGAATAGAATAGAATAGAATAGAATAGAATAGAATAGAATAGAATTGGAAGGGACCTTGGAGGTCTTCTAGTCCAGCCCCCTGCTCAAGCAGGAGAATCTACACCATCTCAGACAGGTGATTGTCCAGTGTCTCTTCTTAAAAATCTCCAGTGACTTTTTTGTGAAGTCTGATGCAACCACACACTTCGCAGCATTTGCATGGTGATCTTTGTTTATTTCTTATATTCAGCGTACAAAACAGCCGAACTCTGTAATGACTCCGGATAGCAAAAAAATAAAAACACTCATAAAATGCTGATGACATGCAGTTGAAAAAACCCCAAGTGTCCAGGAAGAGCAAGTGTCCAGGCTCTTCAGACCCTGTTGAGGTTGAGGGTCAGATTAATTTCATGGGGGATGGTGTTCCACGGGGTGGGTGCTGTGACATCACAATAGATAGTCCTCAACGTAGGACCACAACTGACCCCAATATTTCCATTGCCGAGCAAAGCAATTGTTAAATGAGTTTTGTCCCATTTCTTGCCACCGTCATTAAGGGAGTCGTTGCAGTTGTTAAGTTAGTAACGCGATTGATAAGTGAATCTGGCTTCCTTTGCTTGCCAGAAGGTCGCAAAAGGTGATCCCGTGACCTCCGGATACTGCAGTTATCATAAACACAGGCTGGTTGCCAAGCGTCCTAATTTTGATCACATGACCACAGGGATGCTGCAATGGTTGTAAGTGTAAAAAAAATGTTCATAAATCATTTTTTTCGATGCCGTTGTAACTTCGAATGTCACATAATAATAATAATAATAATAATAATAATAATAATAATAATAATAATAATAATAATAATAATAATAATAATAATAATAATAATAATAATAAAGTTGGAAGGGACCTTGGAGGTCATCTAGTCCAACCCCCTGCTCAGGCAGGAAACCCTATACCATTTCGGACAAATGGCTGTCCAGTCTATTCTGGATATCTGTAATACCATCAAACATCCACATCTGCCTATCCCAGGTCCTTGGGAAGGACTTGATAGGTAGACAAAATGCCAAATCCAGTCTGAACATCTGGCTGACTGTGCGA